CCGCCGCACAGCTGATCCACAGCTCAGCTGTGTGGCGCTGCCCCTTTAAAACACTGAAGCGCCGTGGAGCCCGGAGTCAGCTGGGGACTCCCCAGCTGACCCTGGGTTCTGAGCAGCATTTGCCCAGCTGATCCTGGGCTCCCTGTAGCATTTCAGCAGAGCCCGGGACTCTGGGTTCCACGCGGCATTTCCCCGGAACCCAGAATTTCCATCAACTACTTGACTAGTCAATAGGCACTTCCACGTACCACCTTTGAAATGTACAAGAGCCCCAGCTGGGCATTTTTTGTGCATTTCAAAGTGGAAGCGCCCGCATGGAGCCCGAAGTCAGCGGGACTTCCCCACTGGCCCGGAGCTCCATGCAGCATTCCTACTTGAAATGCGCAAATGCCCCAGCTGTGGATTCTTCTACCTTTAAAAGCTGGCACAGCGCACTGAGCCCGGCGTCAGTGGGGGAGTCCCCAGCTGATCCCAGGCTCCACCCAGCATTTCAAAGTAGCAGCGCCTCATTGAGCCCAGGGTCAGCTCCCTAGATGATCTCAGGCTCAGTGCAGTGCTGCCATTTTGAAAGGCCACATGAATCAGCTGGCCCTGGGCTCCATGCGGCATTTCAAAGCAACTTGGAGCCCAGGATCAGCTGGGGATTCCCTAGCTCACCCTGGTCTCCTTGTGGTGCTGCCGCTTTGAAATGCTGGAGAAGCCTGGGATCAGGTGGGGACTCCCCAACTAACCCCGGGCTCCGCGCAGCATTTCAAAGCAGCTTGGAGCTCAGGATCTGTGGTGGTGTTTCAAAGGGGCAGCACCGCACAGTGTTTTAAAGTGGCAGCGTTTCAAAGCGTCAGCGCTGCACGGAGCCTGGGTCAACCGTGAAACGGGGTGGAGGAATCAACTAGTCGACTCGACTATCCGATAAGCATTTGCATATCGGATAGTCGACTAGTCCTTAACATCCCTAGTGTAATGTTATATCTGATGATTCTAAGCACCCTCGCTCTGAGCCCATCACCATGCCGCTCTCTCAAGAAATTTCTTTTTCATCTCTAGAGAGGACATTTTGAGTTAAAGCAGGGGTGGGCAATCATTTTTGGTGAGGGACACTCCAAGATTTTGGAAAGTGGTCAAGAGCCGCATTTAGGGTTGCCAGGTGAGATCACCAAAAATACCAGACCCTCCCCCCAAAAAAGTGCCAGGAAAAGTGCTGGGCTGCTGAAATGCAGTTGCAGCCCTTTTAATTGCTGGGCCACTCCCCTACTACTTCTCCCATCCCTGCCACACGTCCGTTGGGCACCGAGTTGGGAAAAGCAGAAAATACTCAATTTCTTTACCAGACAGAAGAGGCAAATACCAGACTGTCTGGTTCAATACCGGACACCTGGCAGCCCTAGCCTCACTTTTCTGTGGAGGAGGTGTGGGGTTTAGGATGGAGGCTGGGTACTGAAGGGTGCATGGGGTGCAGGAGATGGTGTGGTGTCTGACAGGGTGTTTGGGTGAAGGAGGGGGTTGTGACCTGGAGCAGGGGGTGCAGAGGATTTAGATGGTGACCTGGGGGAGGGGGTGCAGGAGGGGCAGAGGTGCCACAGGCAGGCTCTGGCTGGGAAGTGCTTACCTAAGCATCTCCCAGCCTGCAGCACCCCCAAGGCAAGCTGGGCTCCCTGTCTACTGCAGTTCCAGACTGATAGAAAATACAGGCTGTTCCCTCCATGTGGCTCTCAGCTCTGTTATTTCGAAATAACGCGTCTATGCACAAAATGCATTTCAAATTAGCATTTTGCTATTTTGAAATAGCGCGTCCACACTGAGTGGATGCTGAATCGCATTTAAGGCTGGCTAGAACCAGGTTTGGCACGGCATCACGTCAGGATTTACTTTGTGTGGTTGCTGCCTGAGGCTATCTAAGGCCTGTGTTTAAAGGGACCTCCCCCCCCGGACAGCCGGTTCTCAGGTTTCCCTGCTTGCTTGCCTACCTCGATGAGGGACAGCAAAGCATTTTGTCTCTGCGTGCTCTGGTTGCCCTCACTCAGGACACTACAGCACTCTGCAACACAGAGCTGGAGCTGCCCCTGGGCACTCTGGTGCTTCTCGCAGTCGTGTTGCTGTGAGCCTGGCTGCACTTTCTGCAAGCTGCCATCCGGGGGGGTCCATCGGGGGCTGTCAGGATCCAGGAGGCCCTGCGGGAACACTTTATTCTGAGGAACACATTTTATTCTGAGGAACACTAAGAGCCTCCCTGGTCTGCCCCACTGAGGGCTTGTGCCTCATTCCTCTCTCACATCCTTCCACTTACCCCACCCACCCACCC